GTTAAGGAAGAAGAAACTGAACTAAATTTAGAGAAAGTTAATATAGAGGTAGATAAGATAAATATAGAATATGGCCTAGAAACAGATTATATAGAAGAAAACAAAACAGCAGGTCTTAAAGAATGGTGGCAATTAACAAAAAAGCAGTAGCAGGCATTAAGAATAGCAAAAAAAATGGAAAAAGACAAGTATATAAAAAATAAAATCAATATTGCAGTAGATAGAAGATGTAAGAGAATTAATGAAGAAGTAGAAAAAATGTTTACTAGTATTTTAGACAAACCATACAACAAAATTAGAATCGATCAAGTATTAAAACAAGAAAAAGATAGATGCTTATTGATCAGCAAACCAAATGCAGTACTAAAGCAGATGAAAGAACACTTTAGTAAGCAGTTTAAACAGAGAGATGTAATTGAAGATAAAGAAGTAATAGAGAAGTTTTATAAGTCACTTGCAGAAGTTAAGGAAGAATGGTATAAGGGGCTAAAGGCAGAAATAACAATTGAAGAGTAGATAGAAGCAATAGGAAAAACAAAAAATAAAACAGCATCAGGCATATCAAATATTGAGTACAGACTAATCAAGAGCATGAGTAAAAAAACACAAGAAGTCTTTAGAAAAGTTGCAGATATGTTTTGAGGCTAAAAAGGATACTATATAAATGGAAGCTAGTACAAATATATTCAATCCCAAAGGATAAAGATTAGTGTTATAAGCTTTGTAATGTTAGACCAATTGCACTATTAGAAACATTTAGAAAATGCTTAACCAAAGTGGTAGCAAAAAGAATGTCTAGTATTATAAAAAAAAAAGAGATACTCAAGGGCCCAAACTTTGCTGATCTATCTGGAAATTTGACAGAAGAAGCAATTCATATTGTAGAAATAATAAGAGAAGATATAAAAAAAAATAATAAGAAGTTGTGGTTGCTAATGCAAGACATGAAGAAAGTATATGATTCAGTATTAATGAAGTCACTTTAGCTAGCATTACAGAAAATTAAGTTGCCAAGTGAAATAGTAAAATTTATCATAGAGTTATATACTAGAAGAGAAGTTAGCATTATAATAGAGTTTGGGTTGACAAGAACATTTGTTGCTGGAGATAGGATTGAGTAAAGAGAGACAATTTCACCACTGGTCTGGAGGATATTTTATGACCCTTTATTAAAAAAAATTCAAGATGATTAGTAACTAGGATATGAAATTGAAGTATATAAAATGCTGAACTTATAAATAAACAGAGTTAAAATTAAAAAGGCAAGGCAAGCTGCAGTAGCATATGCTGATAATACAACATGAGTAGCAAAGAGTAGAAAAGAGATACAGAAAATTATTCAGATTTCACAAAGATTCTTTAGATTTAATGATATTCAAATTAATAGTTCCAAGTCAAAACTGTTAGTAGTTAACTCAAATGCAGAAAGAGAGATAAAGGCTGTTCTGATAAACAATTTTTAGCTACAGGTTGAAGACAAGTATGCATTAACAAGAATTCTAAAGGTGTGGTTAAGTATAGAAGCAAATGAAAGCTTAGTTGTTAAAAAGGCAAGAAGAGTTATACAACAGTTTATATGAAGTATACGATTTAAGAAGTTAACTATTAGTCAGTTAATATATATTAATAATATATATATAATACCAAAATTGATATATATATTGCAAATGACAAAAGCATCTAAAGGGCAGCTAACTAGCATATATCAACCAATAATTAGATTGATTAAGAACAAAATAAAGCTATCATCGACTACAGAAAATAGTGCAATAATGCACCAAGATTTAAGAAAGTGTAGAATATTAAATCAAGAAATATTTAATAATCAGTTAGTATTGTTACAAAAGAGACTAAATGAGCTAGATCAAATTGGCAAAATGATAAGAATATAAATAAAGCAGGGCTTTGCTCTAACAGGAATGATATCAAAAAAAATAGATGCAACTTTGTTAAATAACTTAAGATAAATTTAAAAAAATAACTTGGCATGTCTAATTATTCTTAAAGCAAAAGAAGTAGAAGTAATGATAAAGGAAGATGAAGGTTTTTGGCAAATTCATGATATAGGTAAAACTGTATATAGTCTAATAGAGAAGAAAACATTCAGAGTAGCATGCAAAAGTTTAATAAAGTATAGAATATTTTTTATACAACAGTTAATCGATCAAAAGGGCAAAAGAATAATTATATGAAAAAAGTTTAAAGCTTTAAGAATGAGTATGCAAAGAAGATGAAAAGCAAGATGGTTTGCAGAAATTGAGCAGAAAATAATAAACAATCAAAATAACAGAACAGTTCGAATAAAATTTTAAATACAAGACATGAACACTATAGCAATAAGATCAATATGCAAGAAGTTATTACAAGATAAAAGAAGGCATAAATGGGTACTAGTAAACAAGAAGAATATGAATTCGATGATAGACAGAGTAGTTAAGAAAAGAAGGAAAGATGTACTTATAAATTACTGGAGTACAACATAGATTGAGGATAGGAATCACTTAGTACTTGTAGAATGCATAAAGTGCAATTTAAATAATAGAAATAATACAAGTAGTTGTCAACATTGAGTCAAGAAAAAAGAAATAGTAGGTGTGCTATCAGGAATTAAACAAGAGAACAAATAGAAGATTTCAGTTTTGTTAAAAGAGTTAAATAAATATAAGGAGAGCAATACAAAAAGAAGAAGCAATAATGAAAAAAGAGTTGTAGATAAAGAAATAAGTGTATATATGCATAAGATCAGTCTATTAAAGATGCAAGGTTTTGATAGTAGCCTTGAAACCTTGCTACTAGAGCAATTGGAAAGTAATATAAAAATGAACTATACAAGTTTTAGCTTTCATATAGATGGGTCATTAGTAAGAGAAGAAAGAGATTGTAGAATGAGTGCAAGCTGGGTACAAGTCAGCAAAGATGTGAGTAGATTAATAATAGAAAGGAAAATTAGAATAGCAAATTGGCCATCATTGACAAAAGCAAAGTTAGCTGCAGTGTAGATGATAGTATTAGTAGTAGCATATAATAGTAAAATAGTCATTAAATTAGATAGTGCAGTAGCAATCACAAGCCTGAAAAGAGATAAGCTGTTATATAATATGAGAGTATGAAGTAAAAATAAAAATTTTAGATTAGTTACAAAGATTAAAAATATATGCAAGTCAAAAAATATTAAGCTATCATTAGTTAAAGTTAAAGCACATAGTAGAATAGTATGGAATGAAAAAGCTGATAAGCTTGCAAAAAAGGATACACAGCTTGACAAGATTACTGACTTGAAGCTTGAGAAGGGTTTAAGATTTTCATATATATTATTTTGGAAAGAGACAATAGTAAAGATACCAACAAGAAAGTTTGTTAAAACATTAATGAATATGATGAATAGTGCAGAATGGCATTGCTTAAGTGCAATAAAAGAGTTAGAACCAGATGCAGAAGCACAACATGATTGAAGATGGCTATAGAAGAAAAACAGAATGTTAACAGGAAACAAGTGTAAATCTTTAGAGAAGAGCAAGAAAATCGCATTCAGAATCAAATATATCTTTAATAGTTTGTCAGTACTTGAGGTATTAAAGAAGAAAGTACCAGACTTGTATGATTCAGACATATGCAAAGAATGCAAAACAGAGAAAAAATCATTGAGGCACTTATTCAGTTACAAAGTATATAAGGGTTATTGAAACAATATTGAAGAGTTAGCATGTTAGTTAGTATGAAAAAAGTAGACAAGAGCAAGCTTATGAAAATTAACCTAAAAAGAATATTAGTTGATGAAACAAGAATAGATAAAATTAAATATAGAGAGGCATATATACATGGTTTAGCAGTTGAGAGTATGTTTAAGGAGTTGTATGCTAAACAAGTTTTATGTAAAGGTGCAAAGCAGAGTATTAGATTATATATTAAGGTTGTAGAAGAAATGTTTAGAGATGAAATTTGGTGATGAAGGTATAGAATAGTGGTTAACTAAGAGGAAGAAAATAGAATAACAATGAAATTAAAATGAAGAAGAGGTAAGACAGTAGTAAATAAAGAATGAAATACAAAGAAAGTTAAAAGTAAAGAGGTATCAGAGAATAAAATCAGATTAGAGAAAAACAAAGAAAGAGAGACTAAGTACAGGTGGTTGTTTATGAAAGATGTTAATGATATAATACAGAATAGAAGTAGTCCATTTTGGTTCAGTTCTTGACAAAGCTAACAAAGTTTTCCAATCTAGGAATAGGTTGGTGTGACAAGTTACATTTAAGTGCAGTTTCTGTATTTGAATGATGCTGGACTTGCAATTGCAAAGGTGTATTACTAGAAATAGATAATGTTTTAATTAGTAAAATTTTGTATTAAAGTTTCAACAAGACTGTCAAAGAATTAAAAAAAAAAAAAAAAATTCTAAAATATATAGTCATTGTTTGAAATTTCTATTTAATTTTGCTAATTAAAATACTACCTTATAGAGTTTTTGATTACTTTGTTGTAATTTTTCTATATTTTTTTTTGCAAACTTGAAAAAAAATATATAATTAACTAATATTTTAAAAATCTGTTAATATAATTATCTTTAGTTTTGAACAAATATTGTGAGAAAGCAATATTGATTAAGAAATTTTAAATTTATAAAAAAAAATCAAAATGGAAGAACTAGTTATTTTTATTAATTCTCAGAAAACATGTGATTTTAATTAGGATCTTATTTTGCAAAAGCTCTATTATTAACCTGAAGACTATTATTAAACTGTTAAAAAAATACTAATTGTTTGCAAAAAAGCCAGATATGAGTTTACTTCAGCTGAAATAAAAAAATAATTAAACTACTAGGCTTTATATCAACTCTACAAGCCTCAACCAAAGTTTATTTAATATGCTTTTTTTAATGATATATAAGATCTAAATAATATGTATTAATCTGATACTACATCACTCTTTTATTGTAAAATAGACAAACGAATTTATAAGCATAAGCTTGTAATAAAAGATGTGATTACTAGATTTCATTATAGTTTTGCTTTAACCAATAAATCATTTGTATTAGTAGCCAAAGCATTTCAAAAAATTTATGATAACACAAATTGCCCTCTTATTTGGCCAAATGTTTTAATTATTGATAAAGGTACAGAATTTTTAGGTGAGTATAGAGATTTATTACTTAGCCATAATGTAAAATTTAGTATGCTAATTTTAAATGTGATGTAGCTATTGCTAAACATGACTATCAAAAATTTGAAAAACATGCTTATTTTCAGCAAGATGCAGAAGATTTTCATTTACCTTTAACTAATAAATCTAGATCATAGATTAAGAGTCTTCATATAAATGACAATATTTATAATAATACTCCTATCTAATTGATAAGTATGTCTTCTAATAAAGCTGTAAAACAAGCATTAAAAGGAAAAAAAATAATAGCTAAACCTTCGATAAAGCACTGAAAACTAGTTAGTTATAATAAACCTTTTTTATCTAGTTATACAGAAGTTCAGCACCTTTTAGAACTTGGTAAATTAGAAGGTGAAAGAAGAAAAGCAAATGATTGCAATTGGTCTTCTGAAGTCTTTACAGTTAATTCTTATTTGATAAAAAAAAATCAACCTATTCTCTATAAGCTTTACAATAGTTCTAGATATTTATTTGTAAGAGAAGAACTTCAAATCATCTTACCAGATACAGTATTACTACACAAATATATTCTTAAGCATTAGACTTATCTTCTCTTTCTTCTACTTGGTATAGAATTTGTTCAAAAGCATTGCTTAAGTAGTTATTTATTTTAGCTCTATTATAAACTATAATTTGCTTATTTCTAAGCTAGTCAGTTTATAAATTCTTTTTTTCTGTATTATTATTTTAGGTTTATCATCTATAAAAAATTTGATAAAAAAGCAGAGAGCAAACTTGAATTGCCTATACTTATCAAATTCTTTTTTAAGTATTTCCTTAAACTGCTTTCTTTGGCTTTCTAATATTTTTTATATATCACTTCTATTATCTGAATAAGATTTAGAAACTTTTGCATAATGTACAGCTATAGCTCTTTTTTTAACTGCTATTTCTAACTTTTCTTGCTCTCTAAACTTTAGGTCTTTTTCTGGTCTTTCTTGTCTCTTCTTAATTTTTTCTAATTTTCTTTTTTTATGTTCTTCTTCTAATTTTTCTTTTATTAATGGTCTAACTTCTTTTGGATTGTATTGTTCAAGGTCATAACAAAGAGTTATACAGTCATCCAAGTTATTTGTTTTTAAACAATTATTATTTAAACCAAGTTCTTTCCATCTTTTTGTAGTCATGTTTCCTATGTTCTAAAATATTCATCAGGTTTTCAGACATTTGGACTAACCCTTTTGTCTGCTTTTTGGATAATATAGTCTCTATTCTTTTTAACAGGTTTTTGAATAGCCTTTTGAACAGGTTCTTGGATAGCAACTTGAATGGCTTCTTGAATATCCTCTTGAATAGATTGTTGATTAGCTTCTTGAATAAACCCTTTAATTAATACTTGAATAAGAGCTATATTCTTTTGATTTTGTAATAGTTTGCATAGATTTTTTTACTTAAGATACTCATGAAGTTTTTGAGGTATTAAGCATTCATGACTACAATGTTTATAGATTCTAACTTTCTTATTACTTCTTGTTTTTTTTAATCATAGTAGTATTTCTAACTGTCATACTTTTACTTACTTATAAAATTTTTTCTTTAATTAATTAATTATTATATATGTAAAGTACATATTACTTGTTGATTTTGCTTTCTTAAAAACCAAATATTTAGTTAATATTATATAAGTATTACTGCAATCTTTTTTTGAATTTATAAGAAAAAAATATTACAAATTAAAATATTAACTAATTATTATTAATCTTTTTGAATCTAGTAACATAATAGTAGAATGATTAGTAAATATTTATACACATATCTTAGCAACTTTAGAGTGGCTTGCAATAAATTTTGCATTCAGCCTAAAGAATGCCAATTTTATTATAAGACTAAAAAATAAGTATCATGCTCTAATTGTAGGAAGCCTATGGCATCTGCTTGTGAATAATATTTAGCACATATTAGAACATACTATGTTACTTAGTATAATATTATAATAGATTGCGAGCTAAAACTTTAAGCCTGAAATATACTAAAACTATAGCAAAAATATAATATAGATATTGTCTAAATTCACATATTTTTACTATATTTATTTAGATCATTTTTATAAGCTAGAGATTGCCAAAATTGTTTTCTAATATATTTTTTTGCTATGTTGTTTAGTAAGCTAGCCTGTGTAGAGCCATTTTTAACTAAGTATCTTTTATAGAAAATGTTAAGTTATTTTTATTAGACTTATATGTTATTTTATAAGTTATCTAATGCAGAGATATTTTCTAATATACTGCTTTTTTGTTAGATGTATAAAATTTCTAGCAGGACAGAATTGTTAAATTTATTTAAAATATATTAGAGTTGAAACAAAAAAGTTAAGACAAAAAATTTATTAGACTTATTTAATAATTATGCTATTTAATAAGCTAGCTTGTATAGAAGCTATTCTTGTCTATAGAAAAGTTTATTAGATTTAAAAGATTATGTGATTTTTGATATATTAATTAATATATAGACTTTTTTAGAAGTAATTCTTAAATAGTTAGAGATATTCATAAATAAATCTAACAAATCTGAAATTAATAATAAATATAATTAAAAAAATCAATATAATTTTAAAGTTTACAAAAGTCTTAAAATGTATTTCTGCTATATTTATAAATTGTTAGACTAGAGGTATGATGACTTAGTAAAATGGATAGGTTGTCAATCCTCAAGTGGTAGGTCTAGAGTTCAAATCCTAGTAATAATGAAAATTTGCAATTCTTTTTATGTTATGATTAACTGTCTTTTGTAATTAGTTAGGATAAGATACTTATAACTTGTATCATACTAGCATAACTAGAAGATCTAGGCACTTGTACAATATTGTATGAAGAAACACAAACTGGTACCAGGCAGTGTGAATCCAAGATAAGTTCTTAGGCCATGTAAATCACAAAAACCAAATAGAAAAATGAAAGCCTACTTGGAAAACCTGAGTAGAGAGATAACCTGAACTTTTAACAATACTATTATAAAAACTAGACTTATAAAACAAAGCTAAAACTTGTGAAACTAGGTAAATGTGCCAGTCTTTGAAGAGGAACTAGATGAACTAATTAGGCTGCTAGAATTTTCAGATTTCAGAAAAAAAAGGTACATGCTAGTAAATATATAAACCAGAAGTGTATAGTTTTGATCTACTTTTTTAGACTATTTGAAATAGCAGTTTAATAAAACTTAAATTAAATACCAAAGTAGTAAGAATATGTTGTAAAGTTAGTACTAGAGTTAAAATAAACTCTACAAAGGCATAGCAGTTTAATGATATATCCTGATTATCAGTATTAGTCTTAGCTATAGTAATACTGAATTAGCTATAAGAATAGAATATAGAAGATTTTAAAAGATTTAGTACAAAGTTAAAATTTTCAAAAAACTGCTTTAAAGACTTAGTGGTCATAGTATATTTTCACCAGCATTAATCAAAGTTATTGGTAGGTAGAGGTAGATGAGTGGATATAAAAACTAGATTAGTTAAATAAAAAACCTATAAACAGGTTTCAGATATGGCAGCTAGTGTAGAACCTTTAAGTAGACTACTTAAATTAAACAATAACTAAAGTTGCATAAGTGGCTAGTTGTACACTTTTTTCATAATTGTCTTCTGTAGTTGTAATGCAACTATTAGCCAAATATACTATTAATAAAATTCTGAATTGCAAGTACTTACCTTAATATTTTAAAAAAAAAAAAAATAAATTGTTAGACTTATTTATAAGATAATAAAAACAGTTAAATTTAAATAAATCTAACTAAAAATTAATATAGTTTCTGATATTTAAAACTCTCTAGAATGTATTTCTAATATCTTAAAAAATCTAACCAAAAATCAATATAATTTCTAGCCTTTAAAAGCCTTAAAAATATATTTCTAATATGTTTATAAATTATTGAACTTGATAAATCTAACCAAAAATCAATGTAATTCTATTCTTTAGAAGACACCAGAATGTATTTCTAATATGTTTTAAATCTAACTAAATTTTGATATAGTTCTTGGCATTTAAAAGCCTCAGAATGTATTTCTAATATATAATAAGTCTAACTGTTCTAAAATTCCCAGAATATTATTGTGTAATATTAAATAGATAGAATGTTCACTTGCTTTACCAAATCAGTTACATATTATTGCATTAGAGTAAATGATTATTGATAAAATATTGGCTTTATTTTTTTTTTTTTTAACCTTAAGCAATTACGCTAGTACTTTATTAAGATTCTTAAAACTATATATTTATACAATTATATAGAATTTCACAATATCTAAGTCTAGCATTACTCGGCCACCCTAATGGCACCTAAGTGCAACCTGCTGCACTATCTTAGTTAAAGATAGACTGCTTGTCTAACTACTTAAAGCCATACCAAAAAGGTCTTCTTTCTTTTGTGACAAGCATATTTATTGTCTTCATAGCTTCTTTCTTCATTTGGTCTAGCTTTTCTGCTTTTTTTCTTTTTCTTCTTCTTTTGCTTGTTTATTTTTCTTTACTCTCTTCTTTGTTTTAACTCTTGCACAGGTGCCTTTTTTCATTTTGTTTGTTATATTGATCTTCTTCTTCTAGGCTTGTATTTTTTTACATCGTACTTTCTATACTTGGTCATAGAAGGTGTTTCATACTGTTCTTGTTACTATATCTATGCACTTCTGTGTTGCCTGCTTGCTTAAGAATCACTTGAGTCTTTTCTCTACTTTTAACATTATGAGTCCCTTTATCAGTACTCTTCTGTTTGTGATTTCTTCAGCTTCTGTTTCTCCAAATAATGCCTTATATAGAACTTGTGATAGAATTCTGTTTTTTTCCCTTTTCTTGAGTTCGTTCCATGCTGTTGCTATTGCAACCTTTTGAATTCGCTTTCACAGGCTTTTTTGTCTGTTGCAACTTGCTAAATATGCCTGAGTTTCTTTTTTTTCAACTTGGCATACTTGGCACTCTGCCATTGTATATACTTCTGGCCTTCTTTTATTTAGCTCCTCAAGCATTGGTAGGCTATCTATTATGCATTTAATTGCTGTGGCTCTTTTTGTGCTGAGTTTTCTTAACATACAATGTACTCTTTTTGTTCTGTTTATTTCTTTCCAAAAGCTCAACCAATTATATAATGCATTTTCTGTATCTGGTTCTAATGTTCGTATTGGGTTCGTTTCTCTTCAACTGGCTCCTATTCTGGCATT